GAGCCATCTCTCCAGCCATTTGTTTGTTCGTTTGTTTTTTGAGATATGTTTCACTATGTAGCCAGGCTGTCCTAGAATTTGCAGTGATCCTCTTGCCTCAACCTTCCCAATGCTGGGATTGGGATTACAAGTTAAGCCCAGTTACCCTGCTTATATATGTTTGTTTGTTTGTTTGTTTGTTTGTTTTTGAGATGGATCTCTCTATGTAGCTCTAGCTGGTCCAAAACTTCCCATGTAGACCAGGCTGTCTTGTAGTACAGAGATCCACCTGCTTGCACATCTCCTGAATGCTGGGTTTAAAGGAGTGCTCCACCACACCCGGCTTTGTTATGATTATTCTTGCCATTTGCTGTATATGACCTGAGTTTCTTGTTTCTCTTCCTCTAACAACAGGATCGTGGGGTTGACAGCTCCATTTTTCAGAATCCCAAAAAGCTTCACCTGACTATTGGGATGTTGGTGCTTTTAAGCGAACAAGAGATCCAGCAGACGTATGAGACCCTGCATCGTTGTAAAGAGGAATTCATTAAGTATGTAACAGGCAGCGTGGGAGGAAGGGAGGGTGGGCAGCCAGGCTGGGTCTTCAGTATCCCAGGCTTGTGTGCAGATGAGGGAGCTGGATGACATGGGAATCGGCTCGTGAGAGTCAACAGTGTGCTTTGTTGGCTCACTCATTAGTGCATAATAAGATCTGTCTATTTTATGGGCATGAGTGTTTTGCTTCCATGTGTGTATGTGTGCTTTGTATGTGCCTGGTGCCCACAGAGGTCAGAAGGTCTCAGAGCCCCTGGAACTGGAGTGACAGATAGTGGGGAGCCACTGTGTAGGTGCAGGGAAACAAAGCTTGGTCTTCTTCAGGAACAGGTGTTCCTAACTGCCGAGCCATCTCTCCAGCCCTGAATCATTCATTTGTGGTACCTGACATTGGACTATCAACTGAAAGTTTGAAAATTGACTTAAAACATGCATTTACAGTTTAAATTGTACTAATTGAGAGGCAAATTTGGTTCTTAAGCAGAACACCTCATTGTTTGATCCAGAGTAGTATGTTACTACAACTTCAATGACTTCAAAAACACACATTCACCATCTGGTTCACCATCTGTGGGTCAGGAAAGGCAGGGGAGGGCAGCCTAGGCTGGGATGAGAGAGCTGGAGGACCTGGGAGTTTTATCGTTTGTTTGTTTATTTTTCATTTGTGTATTTATAAAGAAAACATATACACATGTCATGACACACATGTGGACGTCCGAGGACAGCCTGCAGGAGTCAGTTCTTCCTGCCCACCATGCGCTTTCAGGGATTGAACTCAGGTTCAGACTAGGCTGCCAACACCTTGATCTGCTGAGCCATCCCTCTGGTCTGTATCAGGAGACCTACATGGGTTTCATTGGGCTGAAATCAAAGTCTTGGCAGAGCTCTGATCCTTTTTAGTGTCTTAAGGAAGAATACCTGTTTTCTTGCCTTTAAAGTCCAGCTTTGAGAGGCTTCCCACGTTATGGTTTCTTTTCCCACCTTTACTTCTAATGTTGCTGTTCTCTGTCCCTTCACTTGTCACTTCTTGTCACCTCTCTGTGACTGCAGCAGGGACAAGCTGTTGGCTTTTAAGGACTCTGACTTGATTAAATCCAACTGCAGTCAAATTGATCCCTGTCTTCAAGTCCCTTAACCAAGCCGTGAAAGAGAGTGGTTCTCTTGGAGGGCCTATCCCAGTAGCTCAGACAGTACTGCAGCATTCCCTAGGAAGGAGATAATGCTCCTCCTCCTGCCGCCTCTCCCCTTCCCCATCCTTCTCCGCCTCTTCCTCCATCTCTTCTTTTATTTATACAGAACACGGTCTTACTGTGTTGCCTCGTTGCCTGCCTCAGCCTCTTGAGTGGTTGGGGTTTCATGTTGCCTGAGCTAGTCTCAGATTCTGCCGCTCAGACAATCCTCCAGCCTTAGCTTCCTGAGAACCAGGGTTCCAGGTTCTCCAGCACAGGACTGCATCTGGCTAAAGTTAAACTAAGAGGAGGAGGAGGAACGGGAAGGAGAGGAAGGCGGTTGTGATGATGTACATAAGTAGTTCCAGGAGGCTGAGGCCCACCTGACTCACAAGACTCCACCTCAGCAATGTAAACATCTGTCTAATGTGGTATGGTGGCATATGCCTGTGAGTCCAGGACTTGGGGATGGAGATGGGTATCAGGAGTTCAAGGTTATCCCTGACTACGTAAACCAATTGAAAGGAAGTGTGGGCTTCATAAGACATTGTCTTGTGCAATCAAACAATCTGCCCCCAAATAAAAAAGTAAAAACAATAAAGGAGTAAATATAGATTTTTTTTGTTTTTGTTTTTTTCGAGACAGGGTTTTTTAGTCAGTACGAATGTCATCCCAGCACTCAGGAGGCAGGGCTGTGGGTTTGAGACTAGCCTGGTTTATATAGCAAGTTACAGGGCAGCCAGGGTTACATAATGAGACCCCGTCTCAAAAAGAAAAGAAAAGAAAAGAAAAAGGAAATCAACTCAGGTACTCTCTCGGGCCAGAATGACTTGTTACTTATTTTTTCTACTGTAAAAATTTAATTTACACATATATCTAACATCCAAGTGTCACTTCAGAGAGCTCCTTCTTCCTATCTCCCTGTCTCTTTCTTTATAGTTTCTGCTATTTTTCTCAGATGGTTTTCTCCTTGGAAGCCAGCTCTTTGCATGGGGTTTGTGGAGATGGATGGCGAGGCAGCATCAGCGGGTCTGAGTTGAGGTTGGGCCTTCTGTCCTTCCAGGCTTCATGAGGTCAGTCCCTGACCACCTTGCTGTGACTAGCTCAGCTCCTGAAGTAGTACAGCCTGACAGAGAAAGAAGCACAGAATCGTGGGAGACACTTGCTTTGGAAGTGTCCTGATGGCAGTGGCCTTGACAGTGGCCAGGACATAAGGACGTTCCTAATGTCCTTGGGCGTGCATCGGGAGGAAATGACTAGGACATTTTTGGCACAGCCATTATTTCTTCTGTTATTGGTCACCTTGAAGTCAGGACCCAAAAGTACCCTTTCTCTCTTTTTACTTAAGATTGATGAAGAGAAATTTGGAAACTAACTCACTCACACAGATTTTAGAGAATTCTGTTTCTGGGCAGGGAGATAGGTTCCTGAGCCTTTGCACAGCTTGGGTCTGGGAACCCTGCCCAGGAGCGATGAGGAAATGAAGAAATGATAGGCAATAAGACAGACAGACAGACAGACAGACAGAAAAGCTGGGATTGTGTGGGCTGGGCTCTGATGGAGAAGCCATGGTACCCGGCACGTTCATTGTATGTAGTTAAGTGGGGAGGTGCTGCATACAGCTGAAGAGGGCTTATTACATGCAGATAAACAAGAAGGCGGGGGTATCAGATACAGCTGCACCAGGAAGCAGGTTCAGCCTGTCTTGATAACCTCGGTCTCTATAGGAAGCAGTCTTCAGGCCATAAACATCTGGGAGGAGGGGGGCCAGTAGACATTTCCACACACACTGTCAGCATTCAGACCAGCTTAGCATTGTTCTTGGCCTCACCCAG